CAGGAACCAATACCCCCTGATGAATTTTTTTCATTCTGGATAAAAAGCCTTTTGTCATGCTTTAATAATAGAATGCGTTCATTGCTAAGTCGCAATGGTAAAGGCACTAACCTTCATTTGGCACCTACATTGAGATACAAATAACAGAGGTTTATGCCAGCGAACATTAGTGTTCTTCCAAGGAATTGCACTGCTAAAACATTGATAGTTTAAGCTATCTGCACATTTTTCACAAATATGCAGCTATATATAAGAAATCCAACCTCGTTCCCAGTGCCCTCTCTGTAGCTATTTTCAAAATGGCCATTTTGAAAATAGCTACAGAGAGGGCACTGGGAACAAGGTTGTAAGAAATCTTGTTTTAGAACCCAAGCTATAGTTTCTCGTCGCAGACCAAAAGAAGGGTGGGCACTGGAACGAGATCATGTGAAACAGTACTAACGGATATAATGAAGGCGAGATTAACTGCGATAATAATGCTGATATTCTTTAMTGCTTTTTGATTATTATGTTCTAATTCACTATACAGCTTTATTAGTTTATTTGTTGTTCCCCTTTTTGACCATTAAACAGTGCATCTGTAAAAAAAGAGATAGGGTTTGGTTTTAGTTATGGATATTGACTATCATTGCTACATCCTACTGCAAAATAAACGCAGAACCCTACCCCTTTCCCCACTGCATGAGGTTGTACACGCGTTCCTTTCCTCATCCTTGTCAATTTTGTAGCAATTCATTGACAAACAACATTGTAAAAGTGGAGGGTAGGGGAGGGGAGCTTTTAGTAACACAATATAGATGGTGTTCCACACAATTTTGCAAAAAACTGTAGCTAATAATCCTACAAAATCTGTAGTCATCTGATTATTTGGTGACTGTTTGATGAGCCCAGCAAGACTGATCCGTAAACAATTCTTAAAACATGGCATTAAAACATGACTTCATTATGCGCGCATTGAGCGCTTTTCAAATATAAGGAAAAACAACACTTCCGACGTCAAAGGAAGAGAACGTGGATTTTTACAATGTATATTGCAAATGGCTAAATTTCTCCACTACTTACTTTATTTATTGCAGACACAAATTAAGCTTTCTGGTAACAATTTGGTAAACCAGAGAAGCTAGTATCATAGCAACATCCAGCAGTCTCACAATCAGACTGGGATGGGTTCTYTAAACAAGCTTTCCGATTAAATGGAGGGAAAATGTCACAAGAGAGTGCTGATGAGAAAAGAACATTCGTAAATATTAGTATCTTCTTAGTCTCTTAAAATCCGCAGCCTTTCTTTGTTTGTTTAGTTGATTTTTTAAGAATAATGAATTCACGCGTAACTAAAAACAGTTGCAGGGTAGACGTGTCTACAGCCTCCTTTGCAGACGTTATTAGTATAGGTCATTCGTTCCCTCTCCGCGATACTAATAACCGTCTGCTAAGGAGGCTAAGAATCACCAATAAACCCTTCAATCCTCCTCAATGGGAATCGAKAAAGGCGTCCATCCAGTAAACGTGTAGTCTCMTYGCAGCCGTGTTTAGTTTCGGTCACGCGTCACGCAACCTYTCYACACGTTGCKTGACGCGTGACCGAAACTAAACACGGCTGYGAGGAGACTAGTAAACGTGCCCCATTCTTCCTCTGTAGTTACGAGCACGACCGGTAATAATGGCCGTTAAGGAATAGTGACGAGAAAGGAAAACTAAGAATTTCTCGCCCCCATTCTTCCTCTTTTGACTCCTCAAAAAGACAGGAAACCCGTTATTCTTAGTCTTATTCTTAGGCTTATTCCATCCCTGTGTTAACTTACCTGGTTTCTTGTAGCATCGAGGGATATTTGGTAGTGTATCGGTCATGTAGCAGCAATCCATTGCCTGGCACGCTTGCATCGAGATGCTATCT